CCCCCTCCCCAGACAGTATTGAATCCTCAACTCACCCTTCCTCAAAACAGTGAGCAGCTGACAAAACCCAGCAGGAACTGATCAGAATTCCTCCACAGAGGAAGTGCTCTCCAGGTGCTCGGCGATACTTCACAAAGATGGCAGCTTGCCATGGGTGAGCTGTGATGTCTGCATAGGAGCCACCTTTAATCCTGTACTGGCGTACTCTGCGCTGCCGTAAGCCACAGGTGGCTGTGGATGACAAACCCAGAAACAGGCTTTTTGTTCAGGCACTCTTGCTTTGAGTTTCGGTTACGAGACTGTTAGTCGTCACTGCATGTAGAGGCAGCCTGGCATGAATGTTTAGTATCTGACTCATTCCTGTTTCCTAGGAAACTTGTATTCTGATTTGAAAAATACAGTAAGGAGACCCTGCCTTTTCTGTCCTCCACTTCTGCAGTCTTCCCTTCTGGCAGAGAAAAAGGCACTTCTGTGAGAGTGGAGCCACAGAATTTTTTTTCTACTCCAAAAAGCTTTTTTTTTTCCTCTCTTTTCCAGTTCTTATTTTACCATAAGAGGCTTGAGTTTAATACAAATGACATGCAGAACACCAATGCCTCAAAGAAAGAGAAGAATCAGGAGTGCTAGGATCCTTACAGCAAGTAGTCACATTGCAGTACTCCCATGTGAGCTGATTTCCTTTCAGTACATGGCACCATGGCTTGCTGTCATTGTCAGGATTCCTGCAGCACAGGAAAGAGAAGAGTTATTTGTATTATCAGATCTGCAGGGAGTTTGGGGAGAGCTAAAGGTAGCAGACTGTGACCTGAGTGTACTCTTCTTGATTTTTCTAGAGATACAGAGGGCCCTGGGGGCATATGTAATTTGTATTTATGGAGTCTGATGTTACAGAAGCATAGATAGGTCAGGAGGAATAAAATTACTATTGTCAGTGAGCTTTATTCCCAGCAGTAATATATTTCCTGTGCTTTTATAACCCACGTAAAAGACTAGAGCCCTGCCTGAAGACTAGTACAAGGAAGTTTGGTGGGATTTTTTTAATTCTATAACTAACTACATACCGGCAGAAATTGTGACTACCAAGGCCCAGCTGGTAAGCATCTCTTCTCCAAGCAGTATATAACTTGTTGACAAGGATTTGAGAATTCCACCTCAAACAGGTAGCTCCAGAACTGGTGACACTGTGGATGCCTCGGTAATCTGTGCCTCTTCCAGATTTGCAGTTGATGTTCCCAACTTCAATAAGAAAGCTGCACGTTAACTGATGGATATGAACCCGTCAGCTGTTCCTGACTGTGCCTTTCTGCCAAGGCATCTATGTATTAGCTGTACTTAGTCTCTCGGTGTCATAAATATTAAAAGTCTAAACATGATTTAATGTGAGTCTCTCAACTTTTCAGGCTACAGAAATAGCATAAGTCCACAGAGAACCCTTATATATGCAGTGAATCATGGAAGCTCTAAAGTCCATTCCCTGTCCCTCTGCATGTACCTTTTGAACAGGAGGGCACACTGCAGTGTTCCCAGATGTACTTTCCCCCTTTATAGATATAGCACCAAGGTCTGGAATCCTCATCTGGGTTTCTGAAAGAGTTACGATATTAAGCATCATTATAAAGCTATTGTCTGCCATCTAGTTTGGTAATTTAATCCTGTTCTGCAGTTAAGATGTGGACTGAAGCATCAGAAGTCATTTGGATTCCTATTTTAATTATAAAATTGTGGAGTACATGGAGATGAGGGTGAGGCAGCCAGTAGCTAGCATGAGTGGACAGCTTGTTTTTGCTGTTTAGTTCATATCCAGGAAGCGCTACATTTTTAGAGTTTTGAGCAGGATCTGGAGCTGCAGGAAGCTGGCTTACAAAGGGAGTTTTAGGCACTGAGAAGGGACATGTGAAAGACTATGGGGTGAGAGATACATGCATTTTGTAGTCTGTCATAAGCATCTGGTCTGGTTAGCTCTGGAGTTCAGATATGTCTACAGAAGTTGCAATTGCTGCTCATGGGCTGTACCGTATTTGCACCTGTGCAGAGTGTTCTCTACTTGGTATTAGACTGTTGCAAACAGCTGTTCCTTTGCTCCAGGCTCTTAGAATGGGTTGATTCCTGTGGCTCTGACCCGTGTGCCATCAGCCCCTCACCTGCAATAGTTGTGATTGCCCAGTCCCAGCTCAGCAGCATCCGCTCTTTGGCCGCTGTATGTTCGGTCCATCAAGTCATTGCTATTCCAATTTAAACATTCTGTTCCGCTCTCTGTCATGCTCCATGTACCCCTGTATGTTACTCCAGCATCTTTATAGCACTTAACTTCAGTATCTGAACAAAAGGGAACAAAACGTTACTATAAGGACAGCATCCCAAACTCTGCTTCCCCAGTGTCTGTTCTGTTCAAACTTGGCTTCCAGATTTCTCGTCTAGTAAGTCAGTGAAAATGCCTTGCCAGGCAGATTGTAAGTATACATGAAGGTCTTCAGCTTCAAAATTTAGTTTTATTAAGAGACCCTGAGAACAGCCCAGGTGTCCTTAAAAAGTTCTTTGGAGTATTAGCTTTAGAATAAAAAGAGGCAACTTACGAGAGAGACTGGTATAGAGCAGCAGCTTCTGGGAACCTCATCCTTCTGCACTGCATTATCTAAAACCAGTAGCATTGTTCACAGTAATTGACATGGTATACTCGCCTACTTCACACTGCTTCCCAGAGAAACCTTGGTGGCACTGGCAGATGAAGAGCTGTGGGGAATAATATGCCTGTGAACACTGGCCCCCGTTGTAGCATTTCTTTCTAGTGCAGGCTGTAGAATAAGCAAAAGCCAGGAAATAGTTAGATTTCACAGAAGAGGGTGGCCATGTTCTATTTTTCCCTGCCTGCCTGTTATTGTCATGCGCTTACGCTCTTTTTGTGTAGTGCTTACATTCTTCCTTTGCTCCATTCTCTCCACGTACACTGTTAGAAGCCTTCCTCAGCCCGTTGTCCACTCCTGCTTAGTCCTGCCTGAATCAGTATGTATTAGTATTTTTATCTCTATCCTATTCTATTTCAAGACAAATTTTCTGTGTGATAATGTCTTCCCTGACAGTGGAGTTGGTTTTTAGGATTAGATGGACAATTTCTCATCCTCCACCATTTCCTTTCTCTTTTTTCTTCTTTGTACTCACCTCTGACAGGCACAGCGTGGCAGCGACTCCGACCATTGTTGCAGCTACAGTATTCTATTCTGCTCCCTGAGAGCCTCAGCCAGGTCCCCCTGTGCTGGTAAATTTCTCCAGATGAACTCTCTGTGCAAATGGCTGTAATTGGAGAAAATAAATCCTCTTTTAGAGATTCAGGGAAAAGACCTGGCTGAGCAAAAGAACTCCCCTCTCTTTCCAGGAGAAAAGTATCTGTGATGGGACCGTCTGTCTAATGGGCTGCCGTTTCTCCTTCTCAGACCACAATTGTCCCATGTCTCTCGTTTGTGTGTTGCTGGATATACTGTTCCACTACTGACCGGCCTCTTTTTCTTTGAAGAAGAGCAGAGGGAGGGGAAGACTTTGTTCTTTGAGTTGTGGATGGTATTAATGGTCTGGTATTTTGCCTTCTGAATCTCTCATCCAGATAACCATGACAAACAGGTTTCAGGCTCCATTCCTGCAGCATCACCTGCTTTCTCCTCCTGTGTCTATAAAGCTCCAGGTAACACAGTTGTAGTTTGCCTGGCTTACCTCTAGATCTGGCTCCCCGTTTGAAACGCAGGTGTAAGCCCTGCAAGCAAAGAAGGTTAATTCTGTGAGTAACTGCTCTCTTAAGCAAACTGAGAGAACAAGTGCCTCCAAAGAGCCAGTCCTCTGCTTGAGGCCTTGTAAATTAGGGGAGCTCTGAGCAACTGTCTGCCCTCCTTGTCAGACAGTACAGTGAAAAGTGCCTTTAGCACCTCAGCATGGGTACTGAGAATTGTAAATCATTCACTTGTCACAGATTACCAAGTGATTCCTTGTTATCTGAGTGATGTGAACTTAGGATGAGCTGTACTCACATTGTGCATGAAGTCATGTGCTTTTGGGGCACTGCAAGTGCTAACTAAAGCTTGTCAGCTTTCTGCAATTTGAAGGAGGTTCAGGGAAATAATTTCCAAAGAACTAAATGTGAACAAGCAGTAATTTTTGCTTGTTGACATGTAATTTCCCAATAAGCCTTTGTAGTTTGATTACCTTTGAGAGATATGTGTCTTGCAGACAATTAAATAAAATATTTTGGATAAAGTTTTAAGGAAGAAATCAATTTAGAAAGCTGCTTTGATTAGGCCACAAGAGAAAGAATAAAATAAAGAGAAAAAGAAAGGCTGGGATAGCATTTTTCTGAGAAAGAGACTAAAGATTTTAGAATTGTGTAGGGTTTACTCAAGCTATGCAATGTGAGACTTAAAGTGAGTGGACATGGGAACCATCGATGTGCAGTTGTAAGTGAGAGTAATGATGAAGGTGATGACAACAGAAAATTAAAGGGTGGTCACAATGGAACGCTTACAAACAGTGCAAGGTGACAGTGAACAGATACACCAAGAAGATTTGGAGAAGACTTGCTTACTGAAATGAAAACCTGCCAGGATAACACATTACTGGAAAACCCAGCTTAGAGGTAGACTACTTTGTAAGGTTTTCCTTACTCTGACTTCTAGTGACTTAACCAGATTCTCCTTCTGTCTGAGGCAGACAGCTGGAGTTGATGGTAAGGAAGTGCTGCTGAAAATGCAGGAGGATGGCAAGCATTAGCCTCTTACCTGGCACTGAGCAGTCATGATGGCTCCCAGCAGCAGGAGGAGGCATGGGAGTTTGCCTTCCATTCCGAGTGCTTTCCACATCACCTCCAAATCTCAAGTTATCTATAGAGACAACAGAAACAATAAGATGTTTAATAAAGGCATTTTACAGTGTGAATGGAGTTCAGGGTCATAAGTTTAAAGGTTTTAATTGGTGAAAATTCTTTTTTACATTAAAACACACTTTCTACTCTGCAGTTCTCAGCCATGTGGTCCAGCTGTCCTGGTGTCCCTTGACAGGGGAAACTGCCAGGCGGGACCCAGATATGCTTTTATTTGATAAATTTAGAAACTTGACAAGCTAAAGCATATCCTTTTAGGGCTGGAAGAAACTCAGAGAGTGTTTCCTGGGGAATAACACTGGTAGTTCCAGAGTCCTTTTCCCAGGGTTGCTGGAAGCCAACAGTATCACATGCATTAGAGAGATGGACTTGTCTAATCTTCATTAGAGTGTAGTGCCGACTGAAAAGTGTTGTGAGATTCAGGTCACTGAGGCCTACCTAAGAGGTCTCTTGCAGGGGCACAAAAATCTACTGAAGGGTCAGTCTGTGATAATAGTGATTTAAGAGGATTTGCATTTTCTGCATAGACTGCTTCTTTGGGTGAGAGTGAGGGTTTCTCTCTTGTGCAGAGGATGCATCGGCAAGGAGACTTTGCTTGATGATAAGTGGGGACAGCACTGCTGTGTCTTTGATTTTCAACATGTCTACAGATTCTCCCCATCTGAGCTTCTAGTTTCTACTATTGTCATATGCTTTTGCTAAAAATGGAGAGTGTGGCAATTGGCTGGCAGGCTAGCTTTCAGTCTGGTGTTCTCATTTATTCATTGCAGCATTTCTTTCCGTGTGTCACTTCTGTGCAGTCACAACTACTTCTTATTCCCTCTAATCCCTTCAGCAGCTTTGAACTTCAGACAATGCCCTCTTCCATCCCACATGAAGAGTTTATGCTTCCTCCAGACTGATTTACATGTCTGTCTCCTACTGCAGTAGTCTTGGGAGAGAACTCCCAATGATCTCCCGTGAGAGATCGCTAGCTAGTATGGTGTGGCTGGGGTTAAGGATGAATCTGGATTTCTGCGTCCATTCATCTCATTTGCTTTGACAATGTGCTTCTCTCTTCACTCGTCAGAGGTTAATTTCCTACCTGGTAAAACTGCTGCTCTGACCTGGCCACAGATAGCTATAGTAAGGACATTTGGGTACTGTGATCCATCTGTATTTCTTCCTACTGTATCAAAATTTATTTCTGTCTGGCCTTGAGCAGGCAAGTTTCTTGGCAGAAGTATGAATTTAGATTTATGCTACCATCTTGTACCCTGTTTCCCCTCCCCCAGTTTGCTTCCTGACAAAGCAGGAAAAATGATTTCTTTCACCAAAGCAGAGTATCTTGTGTAAGCGCTGCCTAGTTTAGGGCAGCCATTGGGCGGAGAGAAAATTCTGAGCAGCAGGGGAGTGCTCATAACATGGCGTAGTCTCAAGCATATACAAAATTTTACTGCTGAAATTAAGCAACACAGGTTTTTTCCCTTGCTGCACTAGATGTCATTTCTAATCTCATCCTCATAGCAGAAAAATACACTGGATATGACAGATAAAGGCAGTGAAGGGTTTTGCAAGATAGTCTGTTGCTTATGAAGGCAACGCACTTTGCTGTGGGCTTCTGGCTTCTTTGTTAATCCCTGTAGGGGAAAATCCCCAAGATGATGTATTTTGCCCATTCTTTTATCTTGCTGACATTGTAGTAACTGTAAAAGATCAGGTAAATGTATGTATGTAAAAGAACTCCAGTAAAACCGGACCTTAACAGCATGAGTTTGGTAGCTAGCCAAGTTCTATTTTATATTTTGAAACACTGCTGAACTTCAGGACGTTTAAATGAGGATTTATTGGCACACCAACAAGATTCTCTGTTGGGGGCGGGGGGCAGAGGCTGTTGTTTATGGCAAAACTTAAATTAGTAAGATGGAGTAAGTGTTTGTGGGACTTTTTGAAACATGGCATTAAATAGCAAGGTGCAATACATCTATTAAAAACTGGGAAGGTATTTATTTTCTCAGTTGAGTAATAGCTTTTAAGGACTGGAGTTGTTGTTATTATGTAATCTGAACTCTTACAATAAGGCAAATAACTTTATCACAGGTTTCCTGACTTCAATTCATAATTTTCTTCCTAATAGTTATTCCTGCGTGCAGTAATAGTAGCTCTTTTTTACAACCAAACGAGACATAAGTAATCACCAGTGTGAATAGATCTGGCTTGATCCTCTGTAGTAACAAAGACTGCTATAGCAGTCAGTCTAGATGGCAGAGATGATGAATCACGAGAGTGTGATGTAGATGGGAACCTCCTGGCTTTGAACAAGTCCAGCACTGGATGTCCATTTTCTCTCTTCTTTTAAAAGTATAATGCCTCCTATACAAACCAAGAGCTGGGAGTGAGGTATAGTATCAGGCAAGAAGATATAAATCATTCCACATCTCTAGGATTGCTCTGCAGTTCCAAATCTTTGAAATAATACTCAGGTGCTGTCTCACACACTATCAGCTTTTTATCATCTACGTTATGTGATCCCTGAGCAAGCAGAAAGCTAACCCAATTATTTGAGAAATCTACTACTTCCAGAAATTAGAGGCTCAGACTCTGTTTATATAAAGTCAGAGAAGGCAGCTGGATAATAGCTGGTGAAATCAGAGTATGACAGATGAATGAGTCATAAATTGGGATTCAAGGCTGAAAAAGGGAGAGAGTTTGTTTATGGGATTTTTTTTAAAGATTTATTCAAAGAAAAAGCAAAAGGCATAAATATTCCAGTCTCTGAAGCAGAACTGGGAGTACGGCAGGACAGTTTAGGCTGTGGTTTCTTTAGACCGCACAAAGAGGAGACTTAAGTTGCAAGTCAGACTGAAAAGAGTCACAGGAACAGCTTCTGAGAACTTTAATTACTCCAAGACTTGTCTTTAGATCACATCTTGATGATGAGAAATCTTGTAATTCAGAGCATCTCTCAGGGATTTGTATTAGTATGTAGATTTTGTCATATACTTTCAGATTTTGTAAAGATTTTGTAATACACTTTCAAGCCCTTTCTCACCTCTTAGCAACCATTTTGCATTGTATAGCAAGCCTTTTTAAAAGCTGTAAGAGTGATTTCCAAATAGGCATTGACTTCCGTTGAATCCAAATCAGGAATGTTCTCAAAGCTGAAGAGGATGATCTGCTCTGCTACCCAGAGTCGTTTGGTTGCTGCTGTAACCCCATGTTACATTATCCTTATGCCCTGCAGCTGTAGCTCATTATTGGAGCTCAATTTAAATTAAAAAAAAAAAAGACAACGACATTTTGGTCTTGAAGACTGAAATGAAAGGAGGATCCCTATTTAAAAAGCACCTGCATGGTTTAATCAACTTTATGGTTGTAATCAAGTTTATCCCATATAGTCTGCTATACAAATGGATTCTAGTCTTACACAGCACATGCTTATACTGCAGAACATGACAGATAGTCTCCCTAAAGCTGTCTTCCATCGGATGCCACATCCTTTCTTCCACTTATTTCTGCGGCCCCTGTTCAAGCTATCTGATCTTACAATGCTGCAGCACCTTACCCCTCCTTCCCCCCTCTCCATGAGGGAATGCTTGCCCATCCATTGGTGGCTGCTCTCCCACTATGCATGGAAAACTGGTAACAGATGTTCCCAGATGTTTATTTTCAGTTTTGGGAAAGGTACAACTTAGGCCAGTCAATTGGAATGTTCCAAATGATAAGCCCTATCAAACTGAAACCATATGGCTGTTTGAAAAATACTGTGTTTACGAGAGTCCAAGCAGAAACCTGCAAGCAATGTGCTTTCGGGTAGGGCTCTCCTAAACAGCTTGTGCCTTTTGCTCTCGCCCTTTGCTTCCTCGCTGATCAAAAATACTCTAGCAATAAGCCAGAGGCCTAGATGTGGTGTTCTGACGTTTTGATTCTATGCTTTCAGGTACATTAGGACATAAAGATATACGATACCTTAATTTATCTCTCTTTGCTGAAGCATCAGCAGCAGGAATACTTTAAATCCCACACACTAATTGATTAATAATAACAGCCCTTCTGAGCAGTAGGATTGTGAGTATTATCTTACCGATGTGGAATAAGACCTAAAAAAAGGGATGTATCTTATCAAGGTCAAACAAAAAGGCATTAATAGAAATTAAAAGTAGCTCTCCCCCTGTATGCCTCCCAATAATCTAGTATGTCCATTCCAGAATACTTTGATTCTGAATCTATAGCACTAATAGCTTTCTTGCTGATGAAGAGCTATCTTGCTTTAGTTCAAGCAAAAGACTGCAGACCCTTGCTGCTTTTTCCTGCCTGCTGAAGAAAGTGCTTTTGTATCCCTTTTCTGAACTGAGCAGATAAATATCAGACTCCTACTACTTCTCTTTAAAATAGAACAGTGGACAGACCTCTGTTTTGGGGGAAAAGGATTTAAAAAAACAAAACAAGTAAGATTCTGTAGTCTTCGAAGGCATTGGAGGAAATAGATATTTCAAACTCTGGCTTCGTTTTTGGAATCATTCTCAGTATTTCCTGTGGTTTTGGCCACATTTGAAAAGAAGCGTGTTTAGGGAGAACTGAAGAAAAGCCGCCTCCCTCCTCTTTGTCCCTCCATTATCATGGTTGGGAGCCTGAGGTGAAAGGCGTAATCTGATCTCCTCCCAGGAAGACAATAAATTATCCTTTCACAGCTAGTTCTCTGGGTCTCTCCTTACCATCAAGACATTTATCCGTAACTCTTCCTTTGTTTTAAGTTCTTTTGCTAATGTTCTTTGTACAGGAGGAGCTAACTGGTTAGAGCCTCAGGCTGTCAGCCCTTTCCCTAGAATAGCTGAAGCTGTCTGGAAACAACTGAAAGCTAGCAGCTTTACCCAGCATTATGAATCTCTTCAAAAGCTGAAAAGCAATAGCTCAGTTAGTGAACTACCATGGTGCTTCAGTGGGATTTATTAAATAATAACATTTAATAGTATTTAATGAAAATGCCATTGATGTTGAAAATGGGAAATGCACTTTTTGAAACAGGTGCAGAGTAGTACCTACCTTTTTGCTTTTTCTCCTCTGTATTCGGTTGATGATTTCCTTTCCAGACCAGTGTGGTTTGGCGTTTTCTGTGTGTCTGCTCTGATCTCTCTGAACAGCTCCTGTCCTACTTAAAACCCACTCGAGGGGGTGGAGACTCCAGCGGGCAGCAGGGCGTGCTTTCCCCCAGCCCTTCCCGAGGACGTGGGGATGGTCCAGGACAGAGTGGCTCGTGTCTGGAAGTGTTCGGGAGTGAGTCTGTGCAGGGCAGGAGGAGAGCTTGCTGGCTGAAGTGAGTGGGGCATGCTGGATTTTACAGTCAGTTTTTGTTCTTTCTCTCTTCCAATCAGAAAGCAGATTCAGTCTTCAAAACAATTTTTCCCCATTGCACGCCTTAAGCTTCAGTGACAGTAAGGGTAGTATGTATCCCTTATGACGAACTGTCCCACCATGCTTCTAGGAATGCAAATACACAGGTGTATTAGCTCTAACACGACGAGAGGTCTGCAATCTGTGCACTTGGTCCTAGTACTTAGCAACGCCCGTTTCAAGCAAGAGTTCAATGCTCTGAATGGCATCCATTGAGAATCTCTGGCAGAGAGACTCTGGCCTGTACGTGGAGCAAAGCTTGACATGAACAGTGCCACTGGGAGAAGAAACAGTCAGCATGTTGATGACCAAAGAGTTAAATGTTTGCTGATAATGTCTGTCAAAAATGAAGATCTACTCACCAGGGTGCAGTCACGAGATACTAAGTTATCAAAGTGTGGCAGACAAACCTGAATGATCAGTTTTAGTGCTGAATTTAGGACTGGTTTATGAAAACTGTCGGTGTGGCAGTAGTGGATGTGTCCTAACTTTTAGAACTGTTTCACTAGAAATCAGGTTCCTGGTATAATTTAGTGTAAGCACAGACATAAGAAATAGTGTGTGAGGGACCACCATCTTCAGGAGGTAGCTGCATAGAGTCCTCAGCTGGGAAGCATGGCAATGGTTATTTTGCCTATTGGAAAAGATGAAACACTGGTTACTCTGGATGTTTAGCTCTTCTCTGTATGGAAACCTATGTCAAGATTATCACATGTATTCCTCTGAGAGTCACAGTGCGGGTGGTAACACTACTGCCATAAATCTGACTTAAGAGCAGCTGCAGTTGACTGTTTCCAGAAGAGACTCCCAGTTGTTGAGAAGAAGATGCCTGGACACTGCTGAGTGAGCAGGTGCTAATTTATATTCTTTTTAAAGATAACAGCAATTTGCTACTGGACTTCTAGATTAAAGATGCTAACAAAGTAAAGGCCGTGGGGGAATAGTTCAGAAGTTGTTATTTCCTGGCTTTTCACAGCTTAAAGACAACTGTAGCTGTCTAGAGACTGTGGTGTGGGTGCTATCTGTGGTGCTTAATGTATATTAGGGAAGCCAGCAATAATAGTGTCTCCTCTCTCAAGGACCATCTACTGGCTTACCTCTAAGCTGATCCTGTCTCGGGATGGAGTTTCGGCAGGACTGTTTAGTGATGAAGTGCATCATGACATCCCGCAGCAGGCCCACATCCCCCGAACAGGACACCTCCATGCCTGGTGGCCTTGGCAGCGTCAGGAGCTGCTGGCCGAGCTGCAGGCCCGGCTGTGCCCCTCCTGCCCGCGCTGTTGGGCGAATTCGCGGTGGCACCGAGGTGCTGATCGTCAGCCAGCCCAGGCAGAAGCAGTATGTAAACCCGATGTAATGCACGGAATAGCGTTCTGGCTTGGGTGGTGAGAGGGGGAACTGAGGCACGTTTCGACACGTTCAGCAGATTTAAAAGAAGCTGTGGGAAGGACACAGCAGCTCTGCTATTTGACTTAAATAGCTCACGAGCTCTGCTCTCCTTTAACCCCGAGACGCTGACTCTAGGAAGGAAGCCGGCCGCGACGATCGCGACAACGCTG